AAATGTTGCTATTAGGTGCCATTAAATCGAATATGACTCATAGAGATCTTACGAACCACTCACTGATCTGAACCCTGCCCTATACTGTGCCATCCTCACAATCTCTAACACACTCAAGCCCATTTTGTAGTCACTGTGTCCATTTGCCTAGTTGAGGATCTTCCTCTCCTCCACCATCCCTCCACCTTCCCAAGCATGATAGCCCTCTTCAAGGAATAACCTCTCCTAACAGCATGGCCAAAGTATGTGAGATGAAGCCTCATCATCTTTACCTCTAAGGAGCACTCTGGCTCTACCTTTTCCATGACATATTTGTTCTTTTGAATCTATGTGATATTCAGCACACTTTTCCAACACCACAACTCAAAGGCATCAATTCTTCTTCTGTCAGCTTTAGCCATTGTTCAGCTCTTAGATACATAGCAAGTGACTTAAAAGACCATGGCCAGGATCAGGTGCACCTTAGTCCTTAAACTGAAATAATTTCTCCTCAATAATTTGGTTAAGTTCCTGACTATAGACTTTCCCAGTCCAATATGTCTTCTGACCTCCTGACTGCTGGTACCAAGTATTGATTGTGCATCCAAGTAAGCTGGAGTCATTGACAGTCTCAGTCCTTTCTCTGCCAATTATGATATTGCCTATCGATTCAGCGATGAGTAGTTTTGTTTTCTTGACGTTGAGATGCAATCCATATTGAATGTTGCAGTGTTTAACCTTCCTCAGCAAGTTCTTCATGTCCTCCTAACTTTCAGCAAACAAGGTTGTGTCATCTGCGTAACAAAGGTTCCTCCAATTCTGATGCCACATTCTTCTTCATAGAACCCAGTTTCTTGAATAATTAGCTCAGCATACTGATTAAATAGGTATGGAAAAGGAATACAACTGTGACACACTCTTTCTTCATTTTAAACCATGCAGTGTTGCCTTGCTTTGTTCTTTTAACAGCCTCTTGGTCTAGGTATAGGTTTCACATGAACACAACTAATTGTTCTGGAACTCCCATTCTTATCAATATTAGCCATAATTTGTAATGATTTACACAGTCAGATGCTTTTGCATAGTCAGGAAAGCACACATAAACATTCTTTGGTATTTGCTTTCAGCCAGGATCTTTCTAATAGCAGCAGTGATAATCCTGGTGCCATAGCCTGTTCTAAATCCAAATTGAATGTCTGGTAGTTCTCTACCATTTTAGCCATTTTTAAATGAACTTCAGCTGTATTTTCCTTGCATGTGATTAATGATGTTGTTTGATAATTTCCACATTCTGATGGAATGCTTTTCTCAAACTTTTTTCCCCTTGAGGGAAAGTTTTATTAATCATATTCATTTTAAAGTCAATCATATATACACTTGTTTTAGAGTATTAATTACAATTGTGGTTTTAGTTTTATTATTACTTTCAATGAAAATTTACAGACTTTGGATTTCCATTCATTGACTGTTGCACTTTTATCCTCTCGCAACCTACCCCTCTAGTACACTACCCTCTTGGGAAAGTAAAAGAAAAATTCTTTCATTGTTTTACAATCCCTCCCCCGAGGTCCACTCCACTATACAGCCTTCGCTCTGGACTCCTGTCATGATAAAAATACCTAATAATTTTTCCTCTTAAACAGGTTTCTCCCTCATCTGTTTCAATGCGGTTTACATTATTGAACCCATCCTTCTCAATCTCCTCCCAACCCCAAGATCAGTCCTGCTTTACAACAGTGGTACCATGCAGTGTTTGTCCTTTTGTGACTGAGATACTTCATTCAGTGTAATGTCCTCCAGGGTCACCCATTTTTAATAATATTGCATGAGTTCCTTGTTTTCAATGCAGTGTAGTAGTCCATTGTGTGAATATACCACAGCTTCTCTAGCCATTCGTTTGTTGATGGGCACTTAGGTTGTTTCCAACTCCTTGCTATTGTGAACAAAGCCGCGATAAACATGGGTGTGCATTACAATTATTTTATGTAATTAACATACTACAATATGTAAGCAAACTCATCTTGTATATTCTCTTTACCGAACTTAATTATTTTATTATTTTTTAACTCTTTTCTTCCTCCGAAGGGAAGAATTGCCATTTCTGGTAACCATTTTGTATATGTGCTTTTAATAATGTTGAGAAATGTCTCTTTGATTACTATTTTGTTGAGTGGTTTTATCAGGAAGGGTTGCTCAATTTTGTCAAGCAACTTTTCTGTATTAATTGAGATTGCCATGTGGTTCTTTTAGTCCGTTTTGTTTATATGGTTGATTATACTATTTTTCTTATGCTGAATTATCCTTGCATACCTGGCATATCTCTCATTTGGTCATGATGATTGCATTTTTTAAATATGATTTTGGATTCTATGGCTAGGATTTTGTTGAGTTTTTTCATCTATGTTCGTAAGGGATAGTAGTTTCTAATTTTCTTTTTCTTTTATTTTTTTTAATGGATTTTTTTTATTAAGATTTGGGTACATCAAATAAAATCACTTTTTTGGGGGGGTGGAGAAACCAAAACCCACAATAGAAAAAAAATTTCCTGGGATACAGCAGAACCCAGAGGATAGTTATATAATTGAAAAATTCTAGATGTTTCATAATTGACCTTTTTTTTTTTTTCCTTTCACCCTCTCCTTTTATTGTGTTTCACTTGGTAGCGCATAATTGACCTTTTGATACAAAATGACCTATTAAATTTGCAATTTGTAGTTCTTAATGTTGAGGTCCATAGGACCAGCGAGGAAGTCTTCATCTGAGCTGAAATCCGGAAGGGAGTTATTTGGCTTTTGAATAGTTTTTCCTTGTCTAAGAGGTAGCAGCAGCAACAGCGCCCACCTTCTGGGCAGCTTTTTTCTTGGCATGATGAGCCTGTAGAACCGCCACAGCTTCATCCACCTTGGAGCGGAGAGACTCGTGTGACTCTAGCATGTGCAGCAGCTCAGAGTTGTCTATCTCCAGCAACATCCCTCTAATTTTCTTTTTAATAGTGTGTTCTCCTTTGGTGTCATGGTAATGTTTATTTCATAGAATGAATTTGAGAGTATGCTATCTTTTTTTAAAAAAAACCCAATAGTTTGAGTAGAATTAGTGTCCGATATTTTCTGAATGTTTGATAGAATTAATGACGAAGCCATCTGGGCTAAGAGGTGGTGTGTTTTTTTTATTGTTGTTGTCACTGGTTTTTACATGCTTATTTCTTCTTTTGTGATGGGTCTTTTCAAATATTCTACTTCTGTGTTAGTTTAGGTAGGAAGTGAGTTCAAAAAATGTTTTTCCTTTAGATTGTCAAATATGTTAGAATATACTTCTTTGTAGCATTCTGTTGTCTTCATTTTTATTTTTTTTTGTTGTTGTGATGTGACCCATTTCACTACACATCAGTGTTCATAGCAGCATTATTTACCATAGCAAGAACATGGAAAAAGCCCAAATATTCAACCACAATAAAATGTATTGAGACATTATGGTACATTTACACAATGGAATACTATGCAACATTAAGGAGCAAGGATTTTGTAAATTACTACCTAACTCGGGAGGAATTGGAGAGCTTTATGCTAAGTGAACTAACTCAGTCCCACAAGGACAAATACTGTTTAAGACCATTATTGTAAGACATTATTTTAATGTGTCTGATGATCCAAGGAGGAGAGGAAAGGAAAAGAAGAAGAAGAAGGGTGAGGATGGGTGGCAGGTTGGGGGGATGGTTGTTAATCATAGGGTTATGCAATTTGATGGGTGGAGAGAGGGATGTGTAAAGGAAAGGGGAAAGATTCAGTGTAGAAAATAATGTATACTAACTTTATAAGTAAAGCAGTATAAATTTTTTAAAAAAAGAAAAAAGTGAAATTATAAATAATACTTTTTTAAAAAAGGTGAATGCTGGTGGTCTAATGGTAAGAAACTTCTGCAATCCCAAAGACCACCAGCTGTTCTGCGGGAGAAGGATGGGCCATCTCCTGTGTGTTTTACTGCCTCCAAAAACCTACTTGAAGATCAGCTATGAGTAGGTTCCAACTTGATGGCCTAATACAGCAACAACAGAAGAATGTCAGAGCAAATCATCCATACACAGACACTTTATAATAATTGTAGGAGCTCTGGTGACACAGTGGTTAGAGGTTCAAAACTACTAGCTACTCCACAGGAGTAAGATGAGACAGTCTGCTTCCATAAATATTGGTTTAGGAATTTAAGGGGTAGTTCTATTCCATACTGGAAGGTTCATATGAGTCAGAATCTATTTAGTAGCAGTGGATTTAGTTTGGTTCAGCTTAACAGTTAACTTTCTTAAATAAGTGTTCTTAGTTTGTATGTATACTGATAATTTCCAAAATGTTAAGTTTGTTTCACGCTGTTGTGATGGTCTCAAGGGATACAAGTCTGGACCTGGACTACATTTCTGCACTGACTACAGGATTTTGGAGGAGAGATATATCAGCCAATTTCTAGGTTTGAAAGAATTTATATTCTAATTGTAAATTGTTACTGAGGTGAATGACATTATTTGTTAAAAGAGAGAGGTTTATCTTCTCTTATGGTTGTCTGATTTTTGCTTTTAACTTTGTACTGGGTTTTGTTTTCTCCCGTTTAAAAAAAGTCATCCAGGGAGATTTTTTTTTTCTAATCTAGAAGTAAAATAATGGCTATAGATATTTTCTAGCCCCTCCATCATACAACTCATGGCCATCTGTTCTGTGATGATTAAAAATTTTTTGAAAGCTCTTTTTCCCATCTGCTCTCTTTGAGCCTTAATGTTGACTGAAAAGAGTTAGGCCTTAATGTCTGTTCTTTAAATTTTAGATACCAAACTGGAACCTATTTCTAAAGGATCATTGAGATTTTAAGGCAAATAAAAGCTTTTTCCATTTGACATACTCAACTGTTATTCCTTTATCAGGTGCATTCTTTCTTTCTTTTAGTTTGACTTTGGAGGGAAATCTATCTTTCTTCTCTGGCTGATTTGAACCCAGGTGTCCCCAGGTTTTTAAATTTTTCTCTTGTTTCCCTTATAGAGTATAGTCGCTTTGAATCAAAGATACATGACTTGCGAGAACAAATGATGAATAGCAGCATGAGTTCTGGGTCTGGGTCCCTCCGAACAAGTGAGAAGAGGTCTTTATATGTCAGGTAAGCTGTCCTTCTCAGCACCAGATTCTGCACTGGAAACTGGGAGCTCTGTACCAACTCAGTCTTTTTTAACTGGTGGGGTAAGTGGATGTGTACTCCTTATACTCAAAACAAATTAAAAAATAAACAATACATTTCTCACTGTATACTCAAGTTGTATATTTTATGGACAATATTTCTTCCCCTCTGTGAATTAATTTCTTTCATTTTGCTCACGAATGACTCAGGATGGGGCAATTTAAATTTGTGCAAATTGTATTATTGAGTGATTGTTGTTAGTCAGTATACAAATAGCATTTGCATGTTCAAAGTGCTTTATTTTCATTCTCTGATTTGAGAGAAAACTTGGCACCCTTCTTCTGTATATGCGTAATATACATCAGGATTTATAGCTGAACCTATGGACTATCACTGTTCTGGTATGTATGGGGTGACAAAACTTTCAAGAGCCAAAGAACTGACAGATTGATTGTTACATTCTGAATTTTTTATTATGCCTCTCCTCTCCTCCCCTCCCCATTGTGGTTGTGTACTATAGGGTTGGAACTGACCCATAGTTAATTACACGGGAGGAGATTGCCCATCCTTTTCCCATGGAGTCGTTGGTGGCCTTGAAATGTGTGCCTTTGGGATTGCAGTGTGGCGTGTTGCCACTAGGTCAGCCACTAGAGCTCCCTTCCCCTCATCTACTATATCTATGAATCATGGAACTAGAACAAATATACATTATGTTTCCTCTTGCTGCTGAAAACATTTTCTGAGATATTGTTCAATGTTGAGTGTATGAATCTTGAGTCGTGAGGAATTGGACTTCTACATCATCATTAAAAGCTCCTTGTATAATTATGTATTGTTTCCCTCGTTTCTGGAATCCAGATGTACAGTAATTAAGAGGTTGACTCCTAAATGAAAGATCTTCAGTTCCAGTCTACCAGTTGCTTTATGGGAGAAAGCTGTGGCCATTTGCTTCTGTAAAAATTACAGCATAAGGAGCTGTGGTGGCCTAGTGGCAAGAAGCTGCTCTGCAGTACCAAAGATATGCAGTTCGAATCCACCACATGCTCTACTGGAGAAGGCGGGGCAATCTTCTCCTGTGCCAGTCAATGGTACACAACAAGAAAAATAATTAAAAAAAAATTATTTGGAAGGGACTGGAAAGTATTATACTAAGTAAACTAACTCAGTCCCATGAGGACAAATACTATATAAGACCATTATTACAGAAAATAACTAGTAAACTGTGTATGAGGATCTAAGAGGGGGTGGGGAGTACAGAGGGGTGAAGATGGGCAGGGGAAGGTAATCATGGGGTCCCATGGTTTGGTGGGGTAAAGAGGGGTGGTTTGACGAGGAGGATCCGGTATGAGGGGCAATGTATATGAACTTTATAGATAAACCAGTGTGAGATTAAAAAATGACTTGCAAGAAATAAAAGAAAAATAAATTACAACCTAGAAAACCATATGGGGCAGTTCTACTCTGTCCTATAGGGTTGCCATGAACTGGAATCAATTTGAAGGCAGTGCCTTTAGTTTCTCACCCTTTCTTGCGTTGGCCTCCTGGAAGAACCCCAAAAATCTTGTGCAAGCCTTTTATCTCTCCCCATGGTTAACATCTTTAGGAAAAAAAGTCATGAGATTTACTCCTGATCCAGAAGTAGCTTTGTGTTCTTAGGTGTGGTGTTGTGTTAAACTTTTGACCTGAACTTTGGCCCCAAGGCTTTGTTTAGTGGCCTTTGAGACCTGCTGGGGAAGTTAACCTCCTTCCTTGGAAAGTGAGATGTTAGGGAACAAATGTGAATGCTAATTGCAGTTCTTTCTATAATGCCTGATCGTATTTTCCTCAGTTAGTAGTCCCTGACCCTATAGCAGGGAGCTAAGGCAGTCCACTAAAATCCTTCATATTCTTTTCTAAAATAAATCCTTAACTCACCTTTATTCACATTTGCTGGCTAGTAAGCAGTAGGTGCCCTGCTATGAATGGTGGGGATGCTTATTCACTGATGATCTTTCAATTCTCCAGTAAAATAAAATCCTGTCTCTGTCACTAAGCCTAGACACTGGGATGCTAATTGGAGGGGCGGGGTGGAGGATGAGGTGGGGAGGGAATCATAAATATGCTAACTTCCCTGAGAAAGGATACTTTTTATATTATTTGGTCAGCATTGTTCCATTCCCTGCTTCCAGTCCCCGCTGATGTAGCACTCTAGTGTGCGTGGGAAGCTGCTCTTTAGGCAAGACAGTTTCTTCAGAACACTTTATTTTTAGTTTTTCTCTCTCTACCTATCCTGAGCTATAGTTCTCTCTGCCTTAGCAGGGTGAGGGAAGCTTTGAGCTCCTTATTAGAATACTCTTCTCTAGCCCAGGCTGAACTTTGGAGGGTAAGAAGGAGACTTTGACCCTGTTTCTAAGGAAATTCTATATCATAATTTTTTATATCCTATATAATAATATAGGGAATTCTATAGAATGATAAAAATTCAAACGTGCAGAGAAACACCAAAAATTAGTCTAAGTGCATATACTTATTGTAGGTAGATATGATTCAGATTGGTCGACATCAATAAAATTGGCAAGATGCTCCAAAGAGAGGAGAGTAAAAGCAGTTTATGTAGGCAGGATAGTTTCCTGCAGTCCATTGCAAATTCCTTCCATGTTATGTTTTATGAGAGTATGTGAGAATCATCAAGGACATGCTATAATCAGACCCCGGATTCCTACTTCTTTGAACTGGCTATGTGTCCTTTTAAACCTTGCACCATTTTCCGTAAGAACCCAGCTGCTTACTAGGCTATTGGACCTAAAGGTAACTACAGTAAAATAAATTTTGTAAATGTTTAAAGTTTAAAAGGACATTTAAGAGCAAGTGGTCTGGGTGGGTCACCCGAACTCCCTGGACCCAGAATACTAGACTGTAGGATAATCAAGAAGGATTTTCAGTAATCTGTTCTTAACCTTGTCTAGATAATATCTGTATCTCTGAGGAAAAGAAATATAAAGCATTTTATACATAGATGTCAGAAGAGACTCTGAATACTGCACTGGAGCACTGAAAAGCCAAAGCAGAAGGAAGAAATCAAGACATTAAGGAGCTAAACAGGAGATTTCAAAAAGGCTGTGCAACAAAACAAAGTAAAAATCAAAGGGGCCACACTCACTCAGCATTTCTTAAGCTCAAGGAACTGAAGAGGAAATTTAAGCCTCAAGGTTCAATACTTAAGGATGCTTTGGGCAGAATATTGAGTGATCCTGCAAGTATTAAGAGATGATGGAGAGTATACAGAGTCATTATACCAAAAGGAATTGGCAGACACAGAAGAATTTACTGAAACAACATATGAGCAAGAGCCTATGGTGATGAAGGAAGAAGTTCAGATTGCTTTGGAAGAACTGGCCAAAAAGAAAGAAAGAACTGGCTAGGAATAAGGCCCCAGGAATTGATGGTATTCCAGTTGACATATTTCAACTAACAGATACTGCCCTAGATGTGCTCACCAAGTTGTGCCAAGATATCTGGAGAACAAGCACTTGGCCAAGTGACTGGAAGAGATCTATATTTGTTCCCATTCCAAAGAGAGGTGATCCCACAGAGTGTGGAAATTATTGAACAATATCATTAATATCACATGCAAGCAAGATTCTACTGAAGATTATCCAAAAACAACTGGACCAGCACATCAACAGAGAACTACCAGAAGTGCAGGCTGGGTTTAGACGGGGTCATGGTATTAGGGCAATTGTAGCTAATGTTAGATGGATCTTGGCTGAAAGCAGAGAGTTCCAGAAGAATGGCTATCTGTGTTTCATTGAATACGCAAAGGCATTTGACTGTGTGGATCTTAACAAACTGTGGCTAACTTTGAGAAGAATGGGAATACCAGAACACTTGATTGTGCTAATGCAAAACCTATACTTAGACCAGGAGGCAGTCATCAGTACAGAGCAGGGAAATGCTGCATGGTTCAAAATTGGGAAGGGTGTACACCAGGGCTGTATCCTGTCTGCATACCTTTTCAACCTATATGCAGAATAGATTATTTGGGAGGCTGGGCTCTATGAGGAGAAATGTGGCATCAGGATTAGAGGAAGAATCATCAACAATCTGCGTTATGCAGATGACACAACCCTGCTTGCTGAAACTGAGGAGGACCTGAAGCACTTGCTGTGGAAGGTCAGGGACTGCAGTCTTCAGTATGGACCGAGGCTCAATATCAAGAAAACAAAGATTCTCACCACTGGGCCAATTGGCAGCATCATGATGGATGGTGAAGAGATTGAGATTGTTCACAGTTTTGATTTCCTTGGCTCCACAGACAACACTCTTGGTACCAGCAGCCAGGAAATTAAAAGACATATTGTGATGGGAAAGTTTGTGGTTAGACACCTCTCTAAAGTGCTGAAGAGCAATGATGTCAGTCTGGAGACTAAGGTGCCCGTGATACATGCCATGGTGTTTGCAATCACTTGCTATGCATCAGAGAGTTGGACAATGATTAGGGATACTAGAAGGAGAATTGATGCCTTTGAGCTGTGGTGTTGGAGAAGAGTATTGAATATACCATGGACTGCTAAGAGAACGAACAGGTTTGTCCTGGAGCGGGTGAAGCCGGGCTGCTCCTTGGAGGCAAGGATTCTGAAGCTTCGACTGACATACTTTGGACATGTTGCAAGGAGGGACCAGTCCTTGGAGAGGGATGTCATGCTTGGGAGGGTAGAGGGACAGCGCAAGAGAGGAACACCCTCAATGAGATGGATTGATTCAGTGACTGGAGTAATGGGGGTAGGTGTGTTGGAGATGGTGAGATTATATTGGCACCAGATAGGGCAGAGTTTAGGACTGTTGTACATAGGGTCACTTTGAGTCACAGGGGACTCGAATGCACATAAATAAATATAAATGTAAAGATATATATATCATATCAAGCCTTGGTAGTACATCAAATTAAGCACTGGGCTGTTAACTGAAAGTTTGGCAGTTTGAATTCAGCTATTTCATCGAAG